CAGTGAAAGCGCGGAGCCCTGAGCCCTGGACCGCCAGGGAGTGCCCTGGAGATGCGGTTGTGAAAGAGATAGAGTGAGGTCACTGGGGGTGTGGGGGAGTGGTCCCTAGTTCCACTGTGACTGCTGTCCTTAAGAGAAGTGGAAGCTTGGACGCAGACATGCAGGCAGGCGTGAGGACATGGGGAGAAGCTTGGCCGTCTGCAAGCCGAGAAGGGAGGCCTCAGGAGAAGCCCGCCCTGCTGGCACGCGGGTCCCTGTCCCCTGCTTCTAGAACTGTGATCCCCCCAGTCTGCGGCCCTTTGTGATCAGCTGACAACTGCAAGGAACGGACACACCCTGTCGTGCAGGGGGCTCCCTGGAGGCAGGGCTGGTGCAGGTTTTTCTCAGGGGGCCCAGCTGTGTCCCATCCCCAGTCAGGGCTGAGCCCTGCAGCCTCCTTGGACGCTGACCAGCAGGCTGGGGCCGGGGACCGTGTCCTGCACACCCGCCCTGTGCTGGCCTCGCTGAGTGCCCGACAGACAGGGCGTCTCTCATTGCCCCCACAGTGACCGCTGAGCCGGCCCCATGTGAGGGCCACGGGGAGGGGGGCACCGGGGGCTGTGACTTCCTCCCTATTGTCCCCGGCAACCAGAGCCACTGACATCTCCTCTGGGAATCTCGGTTCTCTCAGAGAAGGGGTCATCACCCCCGTGTTCAGAGGAGGAGGCTGAGGTTCAGAGAGGGCCGGGCCGTTACCAAAAACACACCGCCTGGAAAGGGCAGAGGTGGGACTGGCTGGGTTTGCAGACCCCCTGCCCCTGTGCCCTGGCTCCAGGCCCTGGTACCTTCCTGACGGTGGGTGACTGCAGACCACCCGCCCTGTGCCCTGCCCCCAGGCCCCCGCTACCTTCCTGCCGGTGGGTGACCAGTGAGACGCGGCCAAAGCGGCCCTGGCCCAGGGCACGCACGTGCTCGTAGAGCTCGTCCACCTCGGCCCGAACCAGGCTCTGGGCGCTCAGCGCCATCCTGGCCTCCAGCGCCCGGGCGGCCTCCTGGCCCTGTCGCAGCTCCTCTGCCGTGAGGCCCCCCAGGCCCTCCTCCTCCGCCTGGCTCTCCGTGTGCTCCCCATGTGCGGCCTCCATGTGCTCCAAGTGCGATGCTGCCCCGGGCATCCCTGCAGGGGCAGAGAGGGCGCCCAGACTCAGCCCTGCCAGACCCGGGCCAGGGACGGGGAAGGCCTGGGGGCCTGGAGTCCTGGGTCTGAGGGAGGAGGGGCTGGGGTCACGACCCCGGGTCCGAGAAGAAGGTGGCGGGTCACTAGCTCGGGCCCTCGTGACTCGGTCTCCTTCCTTGTCAGGGGCGTCTCTGGGGCAGCAGACCCTTTGCTGGGTGGGGTGAGGGCAAGCCTGAGGCCCCGACGTGCCCGCCCTGCCCCCAGTGCCCTGCGCCACCTGATGGCCTGAGGATGAAAGATGAACCAGATGACTCGAGACACCCCCCCCCATCCTGTTTCCAAAGCAAACAGACTTGGGCCCTGGGGGTGGACGAGGAGCCTCGTCTCCTAAGAGTGAACAGGTGCTTGGCCCCCAGGGGCTGCAGGGGGCGGGCTGCACACTCCAGGCCTGGGCACGCCGGGGCCCCAGTGGGAGCGAGCTCTTGGGACGGGGTGTCCAGCCCTGGGGTGGTCTGCAGTCCAGTGCTCACAGCCCCAGTCCCTCCTCCTCTCTCAGACCCAGGGCTCCAGGCCCCCAGCCCCTCGTCCCTCAGCCCCGGGGGCCCAGGCTCCCAGCTGACCCCTCTCCTGAGATCTGACGCAACTCACATATCTTGGGGTCCCCCACCCCAGACTCTGTGTCCCCCACGCTCAAGCACTCTGCAGTCTCGGGGTCTGTAATGAGCCGCTGATCCCCGAAGGACCCAGCACTCCGACCACCTGCCCGGCTTCTCTCTCAGGCACTGCCCACCTCAGGCCGTTTGACCCCTGCCTCCTCCTGACCTGGGCGCCAACCTGCAGACCTCAGCTTCTCCCAGGCTCGCCTGACCCTTCGGCTGCCCGCTGTGGTCGGTGCCCAGCACTCAGAGCCCAGGCCAACAGAGGGCTGCCCGCAGCAGGACCCGCCCCCACCTAGGGGGTCGGAGCCCCGCCCCCGGCCTCGCCCTGGACTCACTCGGGGGAGAGCGACACCGTGCGCTGCGGCCCAGAACTGCTGCAGCCAGACCGTCCCGACCCAGGGACTCTCCTCCTCCCCAGAGCCAAGAGCCCAGTCCCCACACCCTCCTCAGAGCCAGGGTCCAGACCCCCAGCCCCTCCCCCTTCAGACCCGGGGGTCCAGACCCCAGCCTCTCCTCCCTCAGACCCGGGGGTCCAGGCCCCTGTAAAGGATGAAACTGTTGGTCCAGCCTGGCCCGCCGTGACCGCCCCTGGCTGCCCCTCAGTGCCCCGTGACGGGTCAGACGCAAGTGTTTGGTGAGGGGAGGCCGGGGGAGGCGGCACTGGGGTCTGCCCGGGAAAGGATGACACAGCAGGATTCCAGAACGATGCAGTGAGGGATGACCTCAGACGCGGGCGAAGGGGAGCAGGTGGTGCGGCAACTGGGCCGGAGGGCCTTGGGGAAGCGCCGGGCGGAGGGGCGTCCCCGGCCCGAGGCTTCAGACTGCAAGGTGGGGGCGCAGGCAGGGACCCCCAGGGCTGAGGGAGGGGGCTTGGGGGGCTGGACACCCCTGCCCAGGTTTAGAGCCAGATGACCGATGCCAACTCACTTGCTTCTTTTTAAGTAAGCTTTTGATTTCAGAATCATTTTTATTGTTTTTAAGTCTTTATTGAATTTGTCACCATGTTGCTTCTGTTTTACATGTTGGTTTTTTGGCTCTGAGGCATGCGGGATCTTTGCTCCCCAACCAGGGATCGAACCTGCACCTCCTGTGTTGGGAGGCAGACCTCTGGACCTCCAGGGAAGTCCCATATCCCAGAATCATTTCTGGATGCACAAGACAGCTGCTTTGAGCTCCCACGTCCCTTCCCCCAGCTCACCACCAGGTGAGTCCTCACCGACCACACATCCATTTGTCCAAAGGAAGATAGGAACTGTCAGTCAAATGGTAGACTGGTCCCAGGTCCACAGCAGCCTTTATCTGTCCCAGGATTCAGCCCCAGACAGCCCGTTGTACGTGGGGAGCTCACATGGTTGAATCTAGGAAGCATTCAGATCAGGCTTCCAGCAGCTGTGACTGTGCTGGGTGCAGGGGATGCTGCCTCGGGTCCAGTGCCACCCACTGCCTGCAGGTCTGTGTACTGGGCTGTGGGGGGTGCATGGGGCCAGCCAGGGGTCTGGCAGAGGTCCTTGCAGACCAGTCGTGGCCCTCGCTGTGGACGGGACTGCATGCTCTCGGGGAGCTGGCCCAGGAGACTCTTGGGACAGGAGGAGAACCCGAAGGGATGCGCAGGTGAGAAGGACCAGGTGCATCCCAGATGACCCGAGAGGGGAGATGTGAAGTGGGGGCACAGGTGACTGTGCCACGGACTCCAGGCCAGCAGGAGCGGCCCCCGGGGGGGCTCTGCTTCCTGGAGGCCTGGAGTTGGAAAGGAGGCATTCTCGGATGAGAATGCTGGGTGTGCAAAAGTCTGTAGGCAGGAGAAAGAGTGTGTATGTGTGTATTCATGTATGCACATTACATGCTCATGTGCCCACACATGTGCATGTATTTGTGTGTGCATGCACATGTGTGCACGTGTGTGCATTTGTGCATCTGTGGACATGTGTGCATGTGTGCCTGTGTGTGCATATATGTTGATTTAGGTCCAGAAAGGATGAGTGACTCCTGTAATATCACCCAGAGCCCAGGAAAGTGGAAGAGATGGCAGGTTAGGGTTCCACGGTATTGGAAAGCCGTAGTCAGCGGGCATCCACTAAGGTCTTAGATGAGAGGAGTGACCGCTCAGAGGTCCACAGGCACCGAACATGTCCCCACGGGGCAGAAACGCATGTGCGGGAGACATGGCACCTCCTCTCAGGAAGACGAGACAGAACAGAAGGGAGAGGGAGGGTCCTTGAGGGAGGAGGGGCCGGGAGCCTGGACCCCTGGGTCTGAAGGGTGAGGGGCTGATGGCCTGGACTCCTGGTGTAAGGGAGGAAGGGATGGGGGACTGGACCCCCGGGTCTGAGGGAGGCGGGGCTGGGGGTCTGGACCCCCGGGTCTGAGGGAGGCGGGGCTGGGGGTCTGGACCCCCGGGTCTGAAGGGTGAGGGGCTGATGGCCTGGACTCCTGGTGTAAGGGAGGAAGGGATGGGGGACTGGACCCCCGGGTCTGAGGGAGGCGGGGCTGGGGGTCTGGACCCCCGGGTCTGAGGGAGGCGGGGCTGGGGGTCTGGACCCCCGGGTCTGAGGGAGGCGGGGCTGGGGGTCTGGACCCCCGGGTCTGAAGGGTGAGGGGCTGATGGCCTGGACTCCTGGTGTAAGGGAGGAAGGGATGGGGGACTGGACCCCCGGGTCTGAGGGAGGCGGGGCTGGGGGTCTGGACCCCCGGGTCTGAGGGAGGCGGGGCTGGGGGGTCTGGACCCCAGGGTCTGAGGGAGGCGGGGCTGGGGGTCTGGACCCCCGGGTCTGAAGGGTGAGGGGCTGATGGCCTGGACTCCTGGTCTAAGAGGGGAAGGGATGGGGGACTGGACCCCCGGGTCTGAGGGAGGCGGGGCTGGGGGTCTGGACCCCCGGGTCTGAAGGGTGAGGGGCTGATGGCCTGGACTCCTGGTCTAAGAGGGGAAGGGATGGGGGCCTGGACCCCCAGGTCTGAGGGAGGCAGGGCTGGGGGTCTGGACCCCCGGGTCTGAAGGAGGAGGGGCTGGGGGCTCCAGACCCCTGGGTCATCAGCTGGGAGGGGAGTCGTGCATCCGAGCACAGCCTTCAGTTGGGAGAGGCCCCGGGCGCTCTCAGGTCTCCAGGGCACAGCTGTCTTCCTGCAGGTGGCGTGGGCTCTGGGGGCGGGGCCTCTGGCCCGGCCTCTGGCCACCTGTCCTGGTCACCTGGTCAGGGCTCTCCCCCATCTGTGCCCGTCCTCTCCCCGCTGTCACCGTCCTCCTCCTCTGACCACTCTTCCAGGCTTGCTGCCCCTTCTTCCTCCTCCTCCTCCCCACCCTCGCTGGACATGCTCCCCAAGCCCCCGGCTCTTTCTTTGTTCCCCTTTAACCCCCAGTCATCTCCTAGGAAGTCCAGGACGACCAGTGGGGGGCTCCTGGTCTCAGGATCCAGATCCAGGAGCCCCTGGAACAGGGCCAGAGCGGGGGGCGCAAACTGGTCCCAGGGGGGTGGCGGCTGAGGCGGCTGGGGCCTGGTGGTCATCCAGCCTGCAAAGACCTCGAAGTCAGGGTCAGGGGCCAGTGCCACGTCCCAGGGGAAGCAGGCGGTGGCCGCGCAGAAGAGAAGCACGCCCAGCCCCCAGGAGTCCAGGGCAGGCCGCAGGGGCAGGGTGTCAGGGGGCAGCAGGACGCAGAGCTCGGGGGGCGCAGAGGGCAGGGGCCCTGGGGGTGCCGGGGTGGGGCTGCCCTCGGGCCGGGTTAGACCCAGGTCCCCCAGGGCCACGCGGCTGCACACAGGGTCGAAGACTAGCACGTTGTCGGGCTTCACGTCTGCGTGCACCAGCCCCCGGCCATGGAGGAAGTCCAGGGCTCCGGCGAGCTGGGCCACCACCCGCTTCACCAGTAGCTCTGGGAGGCCCTGGGGTCAAAGGCAGAGGGCAAAGGTCACCCTCGGTTCTTCCTCTCTGCTGCTTCCTGGGGTTCAGGAGCCCGAATCCCAGGACCACTGGCTACCAGGAGAGTCCCTGACACCTCTCCCAACACCTTCTCCAGGTCATCCCCAACCACCAGCTCTCCCTGTAGACCCACCCTCAAACGTTTTTCTCACCGGGATCCCACATCTCACCAGAAGCTCTCTAACTTCCATCGAACCTTGTCCTGACACTCCTTACATTGCTTATCTTCACTCAACAGACCACAGAGATCTCCAATGAAACCCTAAAGCTCACACTTAACTAATGAATTTAATCTTAGTCCTGTACTAATTGAGGTCCCATCTCCAACTCAGACCCAGTTCGAAAGTCCCAGCATTTGCTTCATTAATCGATTGATAGATCTGTCCATTCAGCTAGCCAGGCAGTGAGACAGCAATCCATCCATCCTAACCCCAACCTGTCATCTATTGAACAGTATATACAGCAGGGTTCCACTCAGTATCCATTCCATCAGCTACTCAGCAGCTCAATAATTTGTCCAGTTATTTAGTATCTGATATCCATCCATACATTCCTCCATCCTTCAATCCATCCATCCATGCACCCACTCATCCACCCATCTATCCATCCACCTTTCCTTTCTTTCATCCACCCCTCTGCCCATTTGTCAATCCATCCTTCAACCCACCCATCCATCCATCCACCACCCAACCAACCATCCACTCATCCACTCATCCACCCATCCATCCATCCATCCACTCACCCATCCACCCACCCATACATCCATCCACTCATCTACCCATCCCTCCATCCACCCATCCACCCATTTGTCAATCCATCCTTCAACCCACCCATCCATCCATCCACCACCCAACCAACCAACCATCCATCCATCCACTCATCCACCCACCCATACGTCCACCCACTCATCCACCCACCATCCATCCACCCATCCATCATCCACTCATCCACCCATCCATCCATCTACCCATCCATCCATCCACCCATCCATCCATCCACTCATCCACCTATCCATCCATCCACCCATCCATTCATCCATCCATCCATCCACCCATCCATCTACCCATTCATGCATTCATCCATCCATCCATCTACCCACCCATCCATTCATCCATCCATCCATCCACCCATCCATCTACTCATTCATGCATTCACCCATCCATCCATCACCCACCCACCCATCCACCCATCCACCCATCCATCCATCCATCCATCCATCCACCCATCCATTCATCCATCCATCCATCCACCCACCCATCCATCCATCCACCCACCCATCCATCCATCCACCCATCCACCCACCCATCCATCTACCCATTCATGCATTCACCCATCCATCCATCACCCACCCACCCATCCACCCATCCACCCATCCATCCATCCATCCACCCACCCATCCACCCACCCATCCATCCATCTATCCACCCATCCACCCATCCACCCACCCACCCATCCACCCACCCATCCACCCACCCATCCATCTGTCCCTCCACCCTTCCTTCCATCCATCCCACTCTTTTCCTCCTTATTTCCCTTGCTTCCTTCTTTCCTCCTCTTTATCCACAAACTTATCTCAAATCCAAAGTTTATTCCTAAAGATGAAAGTGGAAGTGTAAGTTGGTTAGTCGTGTCCGACTCTTTGTGACCCCATGGACTGTAGCCCACCAGGCTCCTCTGTCCATGGGATTCTCCAGGTTAACAATACTGGAGTGGGTTGCCATTTCCTTCTCCAGGGGATCTTCCCCAACCAGGGGTCAAACCCAGGTCTCCTGCATTACAGGCAGATGTTTACTATCTGAGCCACCTGGGAAGCTATCTCTAAAGATGACCCCACCTTAACGTCACACTCAAGTACCCCTAGAAGGTCATGGATTCAGTCCTGACCTCTTCTTTCTAGAGAGAACTCCATTACAGTCCTTCTCCAACTCCCCCTATACACAGACACACCCTCAGACATCTCTGAAGCCCCACCCCTGGGCTTCTCCACACTCACTCTCTCATCTGTCCTAAGCTCAGCTCATCCATCTCCACCCTCACCCCTCCCAGTCCCACTGCCATTAACATCCCATCTCTGCCTCTGTCCCCACCCTCTCATCAGACCTGATCTGTCCTCTACCCCAATCCCAGCCTCTCATCCAGGCGTTTGTGTTCGGATGGTTGGATGGATCAGAGTTGGGGTTAGTCATGGAACTGCGCTGAGAAAGAGAAAGAAGGAGGTGGCCTGGAGGAGGGTATGGCGACCCACTTCGGTGTTGAGGTCGCAGAGAGTTGGCTGCGACTGAGCAGCTAACGCCCTTAGGGGCTTAATGCGGAGCTCCCTCTGGGGGTCAGGGTGGGGGACAGGCCTGGGGGAGGGCCGACGTCAGACCAGGAGGAGACCCCGCCTGCCCGCCTCACCCGTTCCTGCAGCATCCCACTGAGGTCCCCACAGGGCGCGTACTCCTGGGCGAAGACGAAGTGTCGCGGGGTCTCCAGCGGTCCCGCCAGCGTCTGGAGCAGGCCTGGATGTGATGACACACAGCGGCCCACACAGAACTCTCTCAGGAAGGTGGTTCTGAAGACCGAGGCCCGCGGGAGGAGCTTCAGAGCCACGGCCCGACCTACCAGGGGGCGGGGGCAGAGGGCAAGTCAGGGTGCCCTGAGCATCAAACCCGGGGGTTTGACCTCTGCGTGCCTCTCCTTTCTCCATCTGTTAAGGGGGAGGTTGGAGGACCCCTTCCCTGGGGACACTCTCTGCTCTGTCTCAGATTGCTGTGTGACCCTGCACCACTGCCTGACCCTCTCTGGACCTCCGTCTCCTCTTGCGTGAACTGGGGGACGTGGCCACTGGACTAGCGATCCTAGTGACCTCAGGCAAGCCTCTCCCCCTCTCTGGGCGAGAGCTCCAGTTCCTTGGGCGATCATGGAGCTCTCGACGTTCTGAGAGCCCCATCGGGAGGGGTCCTGGTCAGCTCCCCGAAGGGATGCTTCCCATCGCGGTGGCTACCATGGACCCTCAGAGGGGGCTCTCCTGGGGTCTGCCCTTCGATGGCCACACTCACCCCCTTGGCGAGGCCGGGCAAGCAGCACGTGGCCGTAGGAGCCAGAGCCGAGCCTTCGGATGAGGCGGTACCGGGCTCGCAGACTCCGCACCGGGGTCACCCTGGCTGCCGTCAGGTCCACGAGCCTCTGCAGGGCTGTGGCTGTGTCCTCCTGCAGGAGAGGGACGGGGCGGGGGGTGGGGGGTCAATCAGGGCAGCGGGCCGAGCCAGGGGGCCTGGGGGCCCGGGGTCACTGTCCCCAGCGATGAGGGTGAGTCACAGTGACTCACCCCGCCTCGGGCCACCTGTTTTCAGGCCTTGGCTGGGTCACGGGTGATTGTCTCGGTGGCCCTGCCCACGGCCGTCTGGGGCTCCCCCCAGAAGCCCCCAGCCTCACTTGGGGCCGCCTCCTCCCCAGCCCGCGCCCCCCACCCAGCCCGCCTCTCTCTCCATCCGCCTCTCTTCCTGTGTCTCCTGCCCCTCTATCTGGGGACGTGTCTCCCGGGGCCCCAGTCTCGCTGTGTCTCCTCGGGCTCCCTGGGTCTTGGATGTCTCTCTGTGTCTTGCTCCCCGGCCCTCCCCCATCCCTCCTCTCTCCACTATCTCCTGCCTCTCACCTCCGGATCCCCATCTTCCTGCTTCTCGGGGTCCCTGAGTTCCATCTCAGGGTCGGGCCAGCACCCCTGGTCTGGGGTCCCCGAAAAACCACCCACCCACTGAGCACCACTGCAGCCCTGAGGGGAGCCCAGGCCAGGGGGCTGGTCTGCGGGGCCCACTTCCGTGTCCCCCCACGTCTGGGCCGGGAGACTGCCCTGAGCGGCCACCCCGTCTCCCTGCACCTCCCTGGCCTGGTCCAGCCCGAGTCCGAGCGCCCAAGGTCTCGGGGTCTCCCTGCCCGTCTGTTGGTCCCCGGGCCCCCGCTCTTGTCCCCACTGCAGCCGCCTGTCCGTCTGTCTCGGGAGGCCCTGTCTGTCCCCTGCTCTGGCCAGCCTCCCGTCCGTCTCCCTGCCGTCTTTGTTTCTGCTTTTGTCCCTCCCTTTCTCCGGCCGGGACAGCTCAGAGACATCCCGTCCCCCCACACCTCCCCGCCCCGCGGCCCCCCTCCCTCCCCCGTCCAAACTTAGACCAGCCTGGACTCTGGGCTCTGCTCCCAGGACAGAGGGGACAAAACATAGCCTGAACCCCAAGGGCCGGAGGGCAGCGGGCAGCGGGGAGACGGGTGCTCTGTGCCCTGTACCTGGGAGGGGGCCCCGGGCCCTGTGCATCCAGCCTCCCCGCGGCCTCCGGGGGCCGGGAGCCCACTCCCAGAGCCCCTTCACATAAGAGCCCCCACGGCCGCCCTGAGCACCGGACGCAGGCCCCCGGCCCCTCCTCGCTCAGGGCCAGGAGCTCTCAGCTGCTGATGGAGACCCTGGTTGGGGGCAGGCTTCTCTGCTGGACACAGCAAGGCTCTGCGCCCCACTCCCAGATCAGGCCTTTACACTGCGTCCTCCCGGGCACCCCCAGAACGGCGGGGCCTTAGCCCCAGTTTACAGAGCAGGAAACTGAGGTTCTGAGCAGCGAGCGGGTCAGAGGGGAGGAGGTGTGGGGCGGCCAGGCCAGCCCTGTGTGACTCAGCCTGGTTGCTTTCCACTACTACTACAACCTGCTATTAATAAAAGACGCGGCTTCTGGAAGGGTCCCCGGAAGCCGGCTCGCGTGTTGGCCCTGGGAGCCTGCTTGGGGCTGAGGCACGGACGGAGCTGCCTTTGCTCTTTTGACTTTCCGGGGCTTGTGGAAAGTTGTGAGCACGGATCAGAGCAAGAAAAGGCTGCACCCGGGGTCCACTGACCAGATTTCACACATGTTCCTTTTTTTTTTTTTGCCCTACTGGCTTGCTCTCTTTTCTGTTGGGGCGATGGCGTGTTTTAAAGTAAATTGCAGCCCATGGCAATCTTCTGAGGCAAAATGAGGCGCCGTCTGGTGTTTGATTTCAAATACTCCTGCTTGGAAAATCACAACTCCAGTGAGGGCAGGGGATCGGCACACAGCTGCCCACATGTTGCTGAGAACAAGGACATGTCTTTACTTTTAGTTTTGGTTCTGCTGGAAATTTTCCCTCATAAAAAGCTAAAAGCGATTCAGTAGGCTTCAGACATCAGGACAAACTGTGCCTCAGGTTTCTGTCTCCCATCAAAGAAAGGAAAATTTCCAGCTCAATGGCAAAACTTTTTTTCAATTGCAAACAGTAATTCTTTACGATGAGCTGACACCCAGTCTGCGTTCCACATCCCCCCGTTTCCCCATACTCGCCTCCTGTGGCTGCTTTAGTGGGGTTGGTACTCGGTGTCTAAACAGCTTTGGGGAAGCTTTGCAACCTCTGCCTTTCCTAGTATTTGAATTTCCCTTGTGGCATCACCGACTCAACAGACATGAATCTGTGCAAACTCTGGGAGACAGTGAAGGACTGGGAAGCCGGGCGAGCTGCAATCCAGGGGGTCTCAAAGAGTCAGACACGACTGAGCGACTGAACAACAGCAACACAGCATCTTACTGATTCAAAAACTAGAATTAAATAATGTGGTGGAGGCTTTTCACCCAATGCTGATCGGGCGGCAGGCCCTCCCTGGCTCGTTGTTTGCTTTTTGTTCAAGACTTCAGAGAGTCCTCCCTACAAGTCTTCGCTGAATAAAGTAATGGCTTCCAATTTACAGATGGGGAAACTGAGGCAGGGACCAGCAGGTGGAGTCCCCAAGTCTCTGGGGACTCCAAGCTGCCCTCTGCGCCGCCCCCTACCATGCAGGCTGGAGCTCAGCCCCTGCCCTGGGGGCCTGGGGTGGCTGTGAGTGTGTGGGGAGGGCCGTGGCGAGCTGAGGCCTGCAGGCCAGCTGCTGGGCGGGAGCTGAGAGGTCGGGCTGCAGAGCTGGCCACCTGGGCCCTGGGGGGGAGGGTCAGAGGGGCCGCTGCAGACCTCCGCCCTCCCCAGCACCCCCGCCTCCCCGCCAGAGGCTCACCGATGATCCGCGGAGCTTTGCACCTCCCCATTTAGCAACACTGCCCCATGGGGTCACCCGGAGTGACCTGGAGAGGCAGGTGTGCCGGGGGAGGGGGTGCTCCGGCCCTGGCCCCGGGGTGCACACACCCCTGGGTGAAGCTGGGCTCTGGGCCTCCCCCTCTCCCTCCCGTGGCCCTCGCTCTCCAGCTCAGGAGCTTCTCTGGTGACCTCCTCCTGCCTCTGACACCCCGGCCAAGTGTCCAGCTGCCTCCCTGCCTCATTTCCTCCTTAAGAAACAGGAGCAATTGCTGGTCCTACTCAGAGTGTTAGTGTTAAAGAAACAGCTAGCATTTGAAGCATGCACTCATAGTGTATGTTGATTGTATCTAACAGTAATAAATGCACTATGCATGATCAGATATTATATACACTGTGTCTGGAGAAGGGAATGACAACCCACCCCAGGACTCTCACCTGGAGAATCCCTGTGGACAGAGGAGCCTAGCAGGCTGTAGTCCCTGGGGTCACAGAGAGTCAGACAGGACCGAGCAACTTAACACACACATGCAGTTTGTACTGTCATATACGTTATATCCAGCATTAATTTCTATGCTATTTATATTTGATATCTTTTTCCAAATAGAGATCATGTAAAGACATAAAGAATTAACTTACACTTCAAAATAAAAAAGAAAGAAAGGAAAAAGGGAATTCCTTGGCGGTCCAGTGGTTAGGACTCTGTGCTTTCACCACCGAGGGCCCAGGTTCGATCCCTGGTTGGGGAACTAAGATCCCACAAGCCACACAGCATGGTCAAAAAAAAGAAAAAATTGTACTTCAAAGGCTGAGCAGTTGATAGCTTAGCTGCCCAGCCCCCCCCCCCCCCCCCGCCCACCAACTCCCCACCATCCTTGGGCCAAAAAGAAAAAAAAAAAGAGAGAGAGATAAAAAGAAAAAAAAAAAAGCCCTACCATTAAATCAGTGTGTTTCCTCTGTAACGAGTAAGATTCTAAACTAATTGGGAAGCCTTGACTGTTGGCGGTTATCATGGTGCCTCGTGAGGACTGGGCTCCCCGCCTGCCCGCCTGTGCTCATGACACTCATGTTTCTCTCAGGCACACCCACGGGGTGCGTGGCCTTATTCCTACATACACTGGATTTTTGTTGTTGTTGTTGTCACTCAGTCATGCCTGACTCTTCGTGACCCCGTGGACTGCAGCACACTTCCCTGTCCTTCACCATCTCCTGGAGCTTGCTCAAACTCATGTCCGTCGAGTCGGTGATGCCATCCAACCATCTCATCCTCTGTCATCCCTTTCTCCTCCTGCCTTCCCTCTTTCCCAACATCAGGGTCTTTTCCAGTGAGTTGGCTCTTCACATCAGTTGGCCAAAATATTGGAGCTTCAGTTTCAGCACATACACTGAATAAACACTATTAAATACAATAATGGATGAAGACACTAGACGTAGGACCTAGAAGAGAGCAATTGCTTAGCCATACGATTTCTGGCAACAGACACACCGATGCAGTTACAGCAGGCCAGATACTGTTCTGGAGGCTTTATCCCCCATCCAGGAGTTTCACAGAACCCTCACCATCGACCTGTGATCTTAGTTCTAGTATTTGTCAAAGCCACACATGCCCCCTCACGGTCCGTCTGACCAGGTCACATAGCAGCACAAAACTTAGCTGTGGTTCCTTGTGCAAAAGAATATCTCAGGCACACATGCCTAAAATATCCCAAAAAAGCATAACTAGTGTCTCCCTGCCCAGAAGTGTGCAGCTGAAGAAATACAACTTGTCAAATATAATTGGAACATTCTGTGTACTTACCCTTCTCCAAATCCTCCCCTTCCATCCCAGAAGTAACTACCACCCCTAAGGAGATGTTTGTTATTCTTCATGTTAAAAAAGAAAATACTTTTGCTGCATATATATGAATCCCTGACTGCCCTAGAGTATCGCCTTGCATGTTTTTAATGTTGTATAAATAGTATCAGGTCCCTGACCTTCCGTAGCTTGCTTTTGTCCTCACCCGCTCAACCCTGTTTGTGCGTTTCTTCCGTGTTGTTACAGGGACTTCAGGTTCCTTTCTTTGCAAAGATGTTGAAGAGCCTAGTGTGTGGACATGCTGTGCTTTACATATGCATTCTTCCGAGCAAAGACATTTTCTTTTTCTCCCCTGTGGTGCTCTTACAGGCAGGGGTGCAAAGGACATTCTTATGTGGGTTGTGTGGTGCAAAGTGGTACACTTCATGGGGCACTGGCCTCAAAGTGGACTTTATGGGTGGCAAGAAGAACGTGCAGCTAAATTCTTAGGCATTGCCACACAGCTCTCTCCGAGGTGGCCATATCTGACGCTGCTTTTCCAATTTTTATTTCTGAGTTCACTGGGCCCTTGGAGAGTGTGAAGAAACCTGCAGGGACTTGCACTGATACGCAGGCCACCAGCTGTGTGGGGCTCTTTGGGACTTGAAACGGGGCCAGGCCAAATTGAGATGTGCTGTGAATACAAAATAGACCCCGGCTTTCAAAGACTTAGCACGAAAAAGAGCATGTAAGCTATCCGTGGGTGACATTTCTATTAATTGCATGGTGACATGATAATGTTTTGGATATACAGTCGAGCTCATCATTGGGTGGATTCCTGTATTGGCCAATTTGCCTATCCACTCAGATATCACTGT